CCCCCCCCCCAACCGGATTCTAATGAGCGCTAGGCCTTGAATGGAATTAGAAAATGCTTCATACTTAAGTATGCATTGTGAAGAGTTAATAGTCTTCCCAACTTTTTTTGCTAAAAGTATCAATTTAACGAATTATTGCTACCAAACACTAAAATCTTACTCCCGACTACTTAGTCAACTATTACCCAGAGTCGCAAAAAGTTTAATGCTCTTTATCATTAATTAACTTCGGAAACCTGTGCCAACACAGGAGGCCTTGGCAAACGGTCTGACCGACGGAGGGGCCCTAACGTGAGCATCGACATCCCTATGCCTCCGTCGTGCAACTGCTGGATATAAGAGGGGTTAGCCGACAATAACAACTAGTAAACTGGATCTAGGCCCCTACAACTAACCTAGCAACCAGTCTATTCTTGATGTTTCTAGCTGCCAGGAGCTGTGTGTGCCGCAGCGGGGTGGTCAGATTGTACTGGTGGATCTGTTGGCTCTACCATCATTGGTGCGTCAGGCACACCTTCCTGGCACATCGCACTAGCTACGTATCTAGGGTATCTTTGCTTGATAACTGCCCTCTCGAAAGTAGGCGCAAGCATGCCTAACTCGCCCTCTTATAAAACGTTACAAATCAAGCTAGCCGCCTATTTAAGCGTATCCTCTAAAAACAGCAAAGACTACAATTAGGTAGCTATAGGGATTAGTATCCAATTAAAAGCCTGATTTCTAGAGGTACCTAAGTTTCCTAGCGATTTATATGATGATAGAAGTACTAACATAATTTCGAGTCTCAAAGAGCTACATCACACACGTCACAACCCCAACGCGATTGACGGGCCCGGGTCCGGGCCCTTCCCCTGCTATTGAGGGCATTTTGGGTCATCGGCTTCAACGGATTTTGAGAGCTTTGTGAGGCTGCTAGTGTGTCAAGACTCATTGGTAGCTTCACGAAATATGTTGTATGATGTTTTGGTGTGGCTGGATTTGGGCTATTAGCCTATTACCAATGTCACTCGAGGTCACCAGCTGCTAACCAGAGCATTGACTGTAGTGTAGTTTTGTAGTTTTGTAGTTTTTGTAGTTTCGAATATAAAAAATTATATTAAATCTAATAAAATACTTATAAGATTATAAGTTTTACGGATAACTAGTATAAATTCTATATTATAAGCTTATATTAAAAAAAGTGGGTCCTTATATAGCATTATAAGCTTAAAACTTCAAAAACTACATTTTGTAGTTTTTAAAGTTTTAGGCTTATAATAGTATATAAGGACCCACTTTTTTTATTATAAGCT